ATTTGCATCATATTCTACTCGAGGAATAATTGCTGAACAATCTTCAGATAAAAAAATATATTTGCAATCTATTGAAGTAAGATAAAGCTGAGATTGATCAAATCAAAATTTCGCTTCTAAATAAGGTTCATGTGACCAATTGTTTTGAATAGTTATAATTGTTGGTAATAAAAACCTCAAGTTAATACGAAGATATTCATAAACGTACATTCCAGCAAGTATAAAAAGAGCAGTAGCAAATTTCAATACAGAATGTGGATATCTGTAATGATTAGGAGATCGATGACTATTTAAATTGATTGTTTCCAACAAGGTACATAGAAAATCTGAATTATTGTTTTCATTAGCTATAGTTACAATCTGAATTATTCGCAATATAATACAAGTAAAATATGGCCATAATGAAGCTATACTTACATCTTGTTGGTTTATTATTTTGTTTTTATCCAATGAATCAATTACAGTTTGTTTGCGAGCTTCAGCTAGCTTACAATTTTTAGCATTTGAATAGGTGTTACTTTTTTTATTCTATAATATAAGCAATAAATAAATAGAATCACAGTACATTTTTATGTGACTTACTTGTTCTGTCAGAGCTTTAATCGATCGATTATTAGGTGGTAAACTTGTTGTTCTTGATGATTCAGTTGTTAATTGCTAAATAAAAAAGTTATTTGAGCATACACATAAATTATGAACATTAACGGAAAAGACTTCCAATGTGATCAAAACCAGCTCTTAGCATTGTACAAAGTATATATCTACATTATTCATTCTTACTATGAATTCACATGGACTAACATCAAAATATATATTGTTTCATGGTACAAGAACATGCAATTTATTATTTAAAATGATTTGTAGGATTCATCAACGAAATGAAGTTCCAAAAAAGCTAGTCGCTATGAACGAAGCAGCAAGCAAGCTTCCCTTTGTCGATTTTGATTGAGAAAATAAAATTGAACTTTTAGTTTCACCTGGTTTTGGGATAGAATGAGAAGATAGTCGTTCGACATTACTACTTTAAGTAGAAAACAAGTCATTTTTGTGTAAAACAATCAATAAAAACTGACTGATTTAATGGTTTGGCTAATGTACTACTACTTTCATCAGAGTCAGAATCAATAATATGAGATGGTTTTCGTTGACGATAGCTAGTTCTTAAGAGAAAACACGATTAACTAAAAAAATAACCACAAGTTAAAAAACTCACGTTTTCTTATTTGTTGTTGATGCTGACTCGATACTAGCATCTGTATTGTTATGTATAGATTCATTTTGATTATTGTTACTGAACGAAATATGATTTTCAGTTTCTAAATCTTCATCATCTATAATCATTTGATTGGAATCTTCTAGAGTATCAAGCACATGATTCTTGTTGTCTTTAACAGATTTTAATACATTGTTGATGTTTTTAAAATGTTTAGCTAAATTTGAAAGTTGAAATGCATTGCTTTGATAATATAGCTTAATTGTGGGCACCGTTTAAGGGATTCTAACGAATTAAGGGATAACATGGACGCCATTATAGAGGCTCGAGAAACAAAATTTGATTGGTTTATTTATGTTATAAATACAAACTGTTTTATCGAGTTATGACTCATCGAGAAAAAAAAAGTCAAGCTACAGCTCAATGCAACCATAACAGCATTGATTTTAAATTATCTTGCAGTATGGTTTGAGTTGCTATTATTGATAAATGGCAGAAACTCAATGTGAATTTTCGGGAAATCTCAATTAGAATTGAAATTTATTTTAAAAATCTTATGGCCTGCTTTCGCTTAAGTTTCTCAAGCAATTTTCGCGTTTTGATTCCTTAGCCGTCTTCTTTTATTTTTTTCGTACAAAGTTACAACTATAGCATGCGGAGTATATCATTTGTTTATATGATGAGAATCTTAGGAATTTTTATCAAACATATATTGAATTTTCTCACTAAATCAATTGAATTATATTTGACATTACTCTACATGCCATAATACAAGAACATTATTTGATAGAAACTTCTTGTTAGATCAAAAATTGCCTTATTTTCTTCGTTTATAGTTAAATTTCTACTATCTGCTTGCTGATACTGAATATTGGTTGCAGTTTGATGGTATCTAAATTGACATTTGATTTTTAGTTTTTATTATCACATGGCTGAATTGATTTTTTAAAATTCTATTAAAAGATAATTGTAAACTGCACATATCTGAATAAACATTGTTTATGGAATGTACGAATCAGAACTAACAGAGTCAGATTCTGTGTTACTTTAGAAATGAAAACACAAAATCAAGAACATTGTTAAAGAACAATTCGTGATCTGGTGAACTTTAAATGAATAATTTAAATAATGCATAAAATAAAATAGAAATTCATTGTTCTCAGCAAAGATCTAGAAATCCGCTTTCACAAGTATCCATTCTGATCTTCCTTCATAGAGTCAAGTACAGAAAAATATTTTTAAGCGCACAATGATACTAATCTTCTTAGATTGTTTTTCTATTTTATTTCTGTTGCAAATATTTTCTTCATTTTTCACTCACTTGTTTAGTTGCCGTGGCGCCTGAAAAATCTACGCGTTCGATAGACATCACACTCTTACAGGTTTTAAGGCTCGCTAGAATACTTCAAACGCTTTCTATTACATAAAAACGAAAAAAACCACTTGTCAACTGGCTTTCATTCATCGAAAGAAAAGTCAGAATTGAAAAGAGCCTAGCTCTAACAAAAATTCTACAAAGTTCTTTTTTATGCATAATTAGAACAATTCCACAATTGTTGTAAATTTTTGTAAGTTGTTCAGAATTTTTTTCTTAAATTTTTTCGGACGAAATATACATCATCGGACTTTTAGTTTCAGATTCTCTCTTGGGTACAGTTTTCAAACAGAGATACTTTCACGGTTTTTCAATGAATCATAATACGATAAAACAGTTTGTATTTATAACATAAATAAACCAATCAAATTTTGTTTCTCGAGTCTCTATAATGGCGTCCATGTTATCCCTTAATTCGTTAGAATCCCTTAAACGGTGCCCACACAGAACAAACAGGGACAATTCTAATACCTTGTAATATATGAAATTCACCTATATCACTTGAAAAAAATAATTTTATTTCCAAAGAATTGTAAGTCATGAAAAGGTGAATACGGATTTTCAAAACTCATCATTGGTATCGTTCTTTTTTCTTGTAAATAAACATTAGTTTTTAATGTATCGAATATTACTAGAAGATCGTTGGAAATGGATTTGTGTAGACAAGAGTAATAAGTAACAGTCAAACTATATAATATTTTTCCTTCATTACATCATTGTATCAAGTATAATAAAGTATTTTATATAAATTTTTATTCAGATTTTGAACAACATGTTTTATTTTCTCTATAGAGAAAAAGAAATGATGGACTTGTACTTTCAGATTTACGGAGTATTTGAGAAGCTATAAAAATTACTGTAAATATTTGTTTTTCGTCAGTCAGCTCTTCTACATACATTGCTTTCTACTATTTACGCTAGAATTCTTCACTGATATCATTTAATAGACTAAGTTTTTATATGAAAAATCTGATTCAATGAATTTTTTTTCCAATGAATATGGTGAATAGAGGCAATAATTGAATCATTACATTTGCAAAGGATCATCCAAGAAAGCTGACTGTTTAAAATAGGATAATGAAGCATTCTTATATTGTACATTGATAGGTAAGAAATTAAAATAATAAATTTCATTGGTATGAATCAAAAGAGACGAAACTATCATTTATCAGAAGATTGTCTTTTCAAAAATCTAATTGAATGACTGATATGCCTTAATTCGAAACGGTATTGTGCATAATTAAAAACATGATGTTTTTTTACACTTCGCTCGTATTTCATCTGTATTTCTTCGTACTTCATCGGTGCTTCACTGGTACTCCACTGGTACTTCAGCTGTACTTCACTCATACTTCATTGGTACTTCACTCGTACTTCGTCTGTACTTCATGCGTACTTCATAGTACTTTTGAAGTAAATAAAGTCTTGCTTTTCCCCCCTTGAATACAATGCAGCTGCTATCACTAATCGCAAGGAGATTGTTCTATTCTATGTATCTTGGGCACATTTCTTCACCCATTTTTTTACTTAATCTCCTAAAAATGCAATAAGGAACTAGTAAATATATAGCAACGATTCGCTATTGATTTTCGGTCTGCGATCGTCTATCAGCAATGTCTATCTTGGTCGTCATGGTCTGTGACAATCTCCGGAGGCCGTCTTTCACAATCTGTGATGGTTCCTGGAGATCGTCTGTTACGGCCCGTAATGATCTCTGGAGGCCATCTGTCACGGTCTGTGAGAGGAGGCGGGGGCTGGATGCAAATTTCTACTCTATATACTTCAACATTCCTTTCAGATCGTGTTTCACAAAACTGAATCTATACCCATAGTTGTTGTGTAATTCAAATATTAAGTGAGAATGAAAAATTTTTGCCTGTTTGCCGATAGTGAAAACCCTGCTTTCATAATTGACAAACCTATCAACTCTCTACAGGCAAGAGATGAAATAAATATTTTTATATTGTTATATTAGTCATAAAAGTATGAAAAAATGTAAGTATTATTTCTTCGAAGTTTTGTTTTCTTGTTAAAATAGACAGTTTTCCTTGAAAACTATGGTTCTGAACGAAAAGATTGTTTATATACCATCTAGAAAACAACTGGAGATCTCAATACTATGTCCGATAGATTCGTTACATTTCTTAATCTATATAAGCTCCATAGAAGTAGATCTGAACCGAAACTTCTCTTTTTATTGAAAAGATGAAGTGCCCGTTTATGCATCAGGTTAAAGAAATCGGTGTATTTCAACGGGAAAACAAACTTTGGAAAAAAATAATACGTAAATTTTTTCATACTTTTATGACTAGTATAACAATGTAAAAATATTAGCTTCATCTCTTACCTGTAAATAATTGATGCATTTGACAGATATGAAAGCGGGATTTTCAGTATCGACAAAGAGTCAAAAATTTTTCATTCTCACTTAATATTTGAATGGCGTAACAACTATGTTTTCAGATGCAGTTTTTCATATAGAATAAAAATAAAATATTATTAAATTATCAAAGATTACTAACATACAGATTTTTAGTCATTTTTAAAATTTAGACTACCTTTGAGGGATTTCAGAAAGAATAACTTTTTTGAATTTTCGTCTTTAAAAGTTTTTCTCTATGGATAAAATCCACGTGTTCTTGTTTAGCTCGACGATATCTATCTAACCATGTATAAATACCATGGAGAATAAGTTGTGCCTAAATTTTGCAATTTCCGCACCCTATCTTCGTGAAAACAACTGACAACGAGTGACATCTGGAATTCATTTAATGAGGAATCCACTGAATCGTTTCTCTATGGATCATTTAAAATTCATTCTTTTTTCAGCTATCCTTGGAGGAACAAAGCATCTTTGTTCATTTATACTCCACCTAGAAAAAAAACCAGTATTGTAACACCTACAATGCTCTTTCCGCTTTTTCTTGCTACTAAAAAGTATATTCTACTCGTATATTAAGCAGTGATAATCATGTGTAATATTTTTTCACCGATTATTTAAGTTTTTTTTTCTATTAAATAAAATAATTTAAATTTTAGATTCAAATTCATTTGATTAACACACGAATTTTGTTTGTTAATTTTATTGATATTAATACCAGTAAATTATTTTTCGTATAAGTTTTTAACCTAAGTTGTTTCTTTACTTATTTCATATAGAAATGACAACTACATGGATCAAATTGAATCACAATCATGAATCAGTCAATAACATTGTCTTGGGCCTGGATGAAAATGGTGGTTTACGTATATCACTTGTCAACATTATATTTCCAGGAACTAGGCTGCTCAAATATTTCGATGATCAAAATCAATGGAAATGGTAAGTTCATGAGTTAGATTTCGTAAAAATGGAGATGATTCTCCCTCGGACAAAACAAAGGCCTTTTTCCATTTGATTTTTTCACAAGGGGGAAATAGCAGAAACCAGTCCCTTGGATTCAAGTGGATTCAAATGGATTCAGGTGGATTCAAGTGGACTCGAATGGATTCAAGCGGATTCAAGTGGAGTCACATGAAGTCTCGTAAAATGATTTCCTATTTTTCTGAAATCCATTATAAATATTCGATACTTCTATTTTTTTTTGTTTGTATCGTGTGTACTATTAGATAAAATTTTTATTAATGTCCATTTCAGAGGTAAATGGCCGTGGATATTTTTCGAATAACTTTTGATAGGAATGAGATAGAGAGCTGTGTTTTTCCCCGTTGGAAAGAGCAGATGAAAATGCATCGAACCATGTATAGAAAGATTTTTCTAAGGTCTTCCCTGAAGGTTTTAGTCAAACGCTTTCAAACAATTGCGTTTTTCTCCTACGTTAAAAAAGTGATTTTTCTATCGAAATATCACAAAAAACCTGCTTTTTTCAACTATTTTGTTCAGAAACTGGGCGGTCAATTGCACTCCAATGGCTATAATATCGTCTTGGTAGTAGTTAGGAATAGAGCCTTTGCGTAGTTTTTTGTAGCTCTTCATTTGGCGGTTCTAGCACCCTCCTGAAAGTCAATAAATTAATATCGCAATCATGAGGGGCATACTGTTTTTCTTGAAGTTTTACGTAAAACCTTCAGGAAAGTCGTTTCGAAAAATCTTTCTACATATGGTTCAATGTATTTTCATCTACTCTTTTCAACAGTGAAAACCGCAGCTCTTTATCTCATTTCTATCAAAAGTTATTCGAAAAATACCCACGGCCATTTAATCTCTGAAATGGACATTAGTCTTGATTCGGATACAAGCATACATTATCTTTTTTATTCTCATACAGCACATTCTTTATTTCAAGACTTGAAAGTCAGTAAAGCGTTGTTCATTTTATTGAAAATAAATGAAAAAAAGTATTATATAAAGAAAAAATAACAATCAACTTTTTTTATTAATCTGTTGTACTGGAAGCAATCGATCGTTTGACATTTTACTTTTTTCACCCGTTAATAACCAACAAGCAGTCCGTTTATGTATATATTTTATATCATCGTTGATTGTAGCTTTAAAATAAGCATGTTCTATATGTGGCTGCATCATATTAAAAACTTTCATTCCAGAAAATTCTTCTTTTGTTGTATTTATTAAATTTCGAGTATCATCTTGTTCATCTTCATCATCGTAATCATCATTTGAGGAAAAAGCATCATTAATATTAAGATCAGCTGCTGTTCTAATGTCGTCATCATTATCATTATTATTATTATTATTATTATCATCATCATCATCAGCGAGGGTGTGGGTGTGGGTATGGGTGTGAGTCAGCCTCGCACCCACACCCACGCCCCACACCCTATAACTACAGATACATCATCAACAATAAGAAAACCTACGTCATCTGTTGTATCCGATGGCTCACCAGAAACTATACCATCAAAATCTTCTAATTTATCAGTTGCTGAACATAAATCATATATAATTGATACATTAAATAACTGGTGCAAGAACAACAAATCAAAAGATAATAATGAACGATTTTCTTTAGTTGAAGGCAAGGATTATTTTATTTCATTACAAAATGATTCAAGTGGTACATTAAAATGTAATATAAAGTGCTGCTGTGAAAAATGGACAACATTAGTAGTTAGACGTGGAAAATTTCAACTGTCAAATTTCTATCGACATTTACAAGGTTTAACTAATGAATGTCCTGCATTAAAAAAAAATATTAATAATCCTCCAGTATCATCACCATCATCAACAAATAATCAGCAACCATTGACCACATCAGATAATGTACTTCAACAAATTGCATCACCAAATTCGATATCTATTATACCACCATCAGATACAATACAATCGAATTCAACTTCAGTCACAGCATCGTCTATCTCCAAATCAACAGAAGATGATGAAGCTTGTGATGAAAACATTATCGAACAACCATCATCATTAAAAACAAAAAGACAAGTGAAAAGAAAAGTTCAAACAATAGAATCTTCACATAACACAAGAGAATCAGCAAAAAGAACAAGAAGAAGATAATTTTTATATGCAGAATATTGTCTTGTTTGTACTTGTTCGATTACTTTTTTCGTGTTCTCTTATATAGTAAGGTTTTATATTAAATTGATGTGTTTAACTTAATAATTCACTTATTTTTTTCTTTTATAGTTAATCGGTTCTATCAAGTATTGAATTTTTATATTTTTATGTCCGTTTGATTTTTATTTTTTTTTTACATTTTACAGTTGGTTTTTAAACAAATAAATAATATAATTATTGATAATAAAAAAACTTTCTAATATAAATATTTCTTGATTGATTCCTGCAGTCTTCGCAAATATTCTTTTTGTTAAATTTTTTTTCTCTACTTTCAATAGAGAATTGAGAAAATGAAAACTAGCATATTTTTATAATTCTAAGAATTTCATATCAGGGTGGATTCAAGTGGATTCAAGTGGATTCATGGTTTCTGCTGTTTCCCCCTTGTTTTTTCATCACTTAATATGTTGTTTTAAAAAAAAATATACCATACGATGCAGCGTGAAAAGAACTACAATCTACAAAAGATAGCTTATTTTATAATTGCACTTTTTGTTTTCAAAACGGGCCAAATTCTGAGCCGCTAATTTTTGACATCTTGAAAAAAACCATTTTTTGGTACACGACGAATTCGTTTTTTTTCTTGTTTCATGTTTTGATCACCTGGTATGCTTTATTAAAGAAATAAAATAAGCCATAGATACAGCATGAAAAGCTCCACAATTTACAAAGAACAGCTTATTTTATATATGAATCTTCTGTGTTTAAAATAGACGAAATTCTGTGCGACTAATTTTTGATGCTACGGAGAAGATAATTTTTTGGCATACGATGAACTCCTTTCCTTATGTCATCAATTAATGAATCTTTGTTTTTAACGTTATCTCATTGTTCGGCCATCGATTATGGCTTTAGATACAATTCATTAATCAAAACAATAAGAAAAGGAATTGATCGTGTACCAAAAAATGATCTTGATTGCGGCGTCAAAAAATAGTCGCACAGAATTTTGTCCATTTTGAAAACAAAAGTGCAACTATAGAATAAACTGTTCTTTGTAACTGGTAGAACTTTTCACGCTGCATCTTGTGGTGTATTTTGTTTTCTTTTTAGTAAAGCATATCAAATGATAAAAAGATGAAACAAGAAAAAAACGAATTCGTTGTGTACCAAAAAAATTATTTTTTTTCGAAATGTCAAAAATTAGTGGCTCAGAATTTGGCCCATTTTGAAAACAAAAATTGCAATTATAAAATAAGCTGTCTTTTGAAGATTGTAGTTCTTTTCACGCTGCATCTTGTGATATATTTTGTTTTTTTTAAAACAATATACTAAGTGATGAAAAAATCAAATGGAAAAAGGCCGTTTTGTTTTGTCTGAGGGAGACTCTAATTTACAGCAAAATTATCACATGCAGTAGACTTGAATATTTCTTTAACACAGCATCCAAGTTTGTTGTAATTTAGTGATAATGTACTTAGTGAGTAATAGAGCCCGTCAGATCCGATCCTGAATCGTACTCTTGAAACTCAATGACGGTTTTTAATTCGCACCTGATAGTTGCCCCGAAATACACCTTCAACATTTCTCAAGTACTCTCGACGATGATCTTATAAGAATCAAGTAATAATTGGCTTTTTTTCTTTGTAGCGTCACGATCATTGGCGATCATTTTTTTCCAGCATTTGGTGACATATGGCATCCAGAACTCGTTTATGTTCCTATTGTTCAAAGTGGTAAGTCTTATAAAAAGATATAACACAAAAAAGCACGTACTTGTATAGTGTCAAACGGAATTTATATGTAAATAATTGTTCTAGAAGTTTCATGTAACATCTGTAATGATGACAGTTTAAATATGACAGATTATATGAATATTCGAGTATAAATATTGAAAACAAATAGGCAACAAAATTTTTTATGAGTCGAATAGTGTGCTTATATGAATTGCATCTATGTCCCACACTGTTTTTCATAAATTATTTTTTCTGTGGGAAGGAATATTTTGCTTTTACAAATAACAGAAGAAAATGACAGGCAGGTAGGCTAGGTCGAAGAAATTTTATGACAAGCGCAGACAAGCTAGAAATTTGTAGGCCTGTCACAGGCAGGCCAAGCCTGCAAAAAAGTAGGCCTGCTTGAACATCTGTTATAGAGAATCTTTTATACTCTCTTCAGATTCAACCCTATGCTTTCGGATGTTGAATAACACTAATGTGTTTGATTAATCATTTTGATCCATTGTGAATTACACACTTTTTACTATAAAATCTTTATCATATTCTTCTTTTCACTCTACTTTAGAACCACTTGGTGGTCCTTCTGGTGCACAATCTAATTCAACATCATCTCGAGAAACATTCGTTGCCGATAAAGGTTGGTATTCGTTTCTTCTTTATTGATTAGGATTTTTTTATGACCATTTTATATTATGTTCAAAAAATTCGTTTTTCTAAAATATTGATAGTTAGTATTCACGTAATATGAAATATAGAAGTATTACAGTTTCAATATCACTAACTGCGAAAAATTTCAGTTTCTGTAACTGATTGGGTCGAATAGTTCTTTTGAAAGAAATTCATCAAACTCAAGAATTCTATGATAATAGTTGATTGGTAGAAATAAATCTATTAATTGAAACTGAGTTCGTCAACAAGTCCTCAAAGAAAATAGACATATCAGGTGGAGCAAAAGTTCTGCATTAATTTTGTTTTTGATATTACATTGTGATGGAATGTCGTTGAGACTTCATTTTGTTTGCTAGAAAGAGCAAAGTGTCTAATACAAAAATCAATAAAAGAATTTCATTAGAAATGTATTTTAAAGGCCGCAAGAATCTTAGAAAAAAGGACATCGGGGAATTCCTCCGCAACTTCGATGACAATTTTTTTATCGAAATATACTTGTTTGAGCTTTTTCATTATCCATTTTCGGGGTTTTCGAGCATCGTATATATATAGTTGTTTATTAGAACGAAAGTTTTCGTGTGGTGTTAAATTAATTGATCTAGCACATAGGAGAATAAACAGTAGGCAATTCGATTAAAAAGACTCAACTTGATCAATTACGGGGTTTACAACGCGAAAAAATTTTTTCGCTGAATATCTCACAAAGGATCTATGTCGTATTCCAAATAATATCGTTTGGTAGGGGAATCAATAAGCTTTCTTTTTCATAGAAAATATATAGCTTCTGACAACCTCTCTCTTGGAATAAACTTTATTTTTTCGACTATAATCGACAGCAATGAAAAACGTTGATATCAGACGATGTTACAAAAGTATTCATTTCGACCGTTATAATACATATAGAGAATTTCTTTTTTTTGTACAGCAACAGTGCTCTATCCTTACATTGTAAAACTCGGATTAGACGAATAAAAATATAATCGATCTAATTAAATAAAATCGTTTCTAAGTTCAAAAAAGTTATGAAAGAGTTTTCGTATACCTTTTTTTACTAAAACTTTTATGATATGTGAAAAAGGTTTTCAATCGAATTCTTTTATTTATTTTTGCATCAGACATTTTGCCTTTTCTAAGAAAAAAAAAATGAAATCTTTACAACATTCCATCACAACGGTATATCAAAAAGAAAATCAATGCAGAGCTTTTGTCCCACCTGTTATTTAAGAAGAAAACAGGGGACTACATGATAATCCAAGGAATTAGAAGTAACTGCTTCCTCTTGTTGGGGGACAGGTTAAGCATTGGAATGAGTATATGAAGAAGATTTATGGTCACTAGTACTCTATCAGTTTATAGTGATGAGTATAATCCGATTTCAAATACAGTGGGCGTCAACAGTCTTGCACCACTTTTTTGTTTTGGTTCGTATTTCAAAAATACACGACATAGATTCAATTTTCTTTTTATCCTTGGATAGCGGAGCTCAAGTACTATATGTATGCATATGTTTGAAATGAATAACCCTTGAATCGGAAACACAGGAAAAAAATCTGCAGTACTGCGACAAAAACTACCCAAAAAAAAACAAAATGATATGGTTGTTATCAGTTTTAGAAGTTCTACTAAAGTTGGAGTAATACGAAAATCGAGTAAAGTTTTGTTTGATATTTTTACATGAGTCGATAGATTTTGATGAGCTCTACAAAACTCTCTATATTAAAATTTTTTAGAACCCTTTTTTTGGGACAAAAAATTACAAGAAAATCGTATTTTGATGCTTTTCTGGTATAGAAAAAGAATTCTCGACTTTTTATATAGAACAAATAAAGCATGCGATTATTTTGTATTTTCTTTTGTCTCAGAAAATGGTTCTAAAAAATTTTAATATAGACAGTTTTGTAGAGCTCATCGAGATCTATCGACTCATGTAAAAATATCAAACAAAACCTTATTCGATTTTCGCATTACTGGCATCTTACTCAAAATCATAACAGCCATATCAACTTGTCTTTTTTTATGTAGTTTTTATCGTAGTACTGCAGTTTGTTTTTTTTCCTGTATTTCAGGATTCAATGATTATTCATTTCAAACATATACATACATATAGTACTCGAGCTCCGCTATCCGAAGATAAAAAGAAAATTGAATATATGTCGTGTAGTTTTGAAATGCGAACCAAAACAAAAAAGTGGTGCGAGACTTATGGCGTCTACTCTATGTATCACTTAAACAGTAATGTTATTTCGTTTTTTCATGACTGTATTTTAAGAAGAATAGATGGTAAGATGGTCAAATGACTATGATAATCTCACTTAAATAACGAAATGGTTATTCATCATGAGCACAAATAAAAGAAGAAGACAAGAGACAAATATATTCTTTTACCTATCCGTAGTTTAATTATTCTTTAGGAGAAAAGTAAGAAATCTATCTGATTGTTTGCGATTCTGGTCGGTACATAATTAGTACGAATATGATAAGATAGTTATATCGGCTGACTGCACGAAATACAGTAGCCCACTTATTGCTTTTCAGTCGATTGGTTGTCATAGTAAATTATTCTTCTTCTTCCACTCGATGCATGAGTCATGATTTAAATCAGCCACTGACGCTCAGTACCTGAGCATCATTTCGATTCGGAAAAAAGCTTGCTGAGATCGTGAGAATGTGACGAATGCAAATTTGAAAACCATTTTTCGAAAATCGATGCCATTCGAGAGATACA